CTGACTTCAGCCACAGCCTTAGATGAAATCAACTGAAATACAAGAACATAGTAAATCTCTGAAGATCTGATTAAACAACTCCACAAACAGCAGCAGCAGCTTCACGCATTACTTTTTTGCCTTCACACATAATCATTCATTATCAGTGTTGTTGGTAACGCATTACAAGTATCGTGAGTTACGTAATCAGATTACTTTTTCAAGTAACTAGTAAAGTAATGTATTACTTTTTTAATTTACAAGAGAATATCTGAGTTACTTTTTCAAATAAGTAACGCAAGTTACTTTTTTTTCCCCCAATTTATTGATTGGCAGCTCTCCTGTCCCCATGTTGAGAGAAATCAGAAGATGTTACTGTAGTTCTAAAATAAATATAAATATGAATATGCATTAATTCATCTCACTTACAAAAAATGAAAAAAATCAGTATTCCTCAAAATGAATAAAAATAATGCAACTCAGAATATGACGCAAACCTCCAATAATTAAATGTTAAACATCACAAATATGCTTTATGTATTTAATCCCATTCTATTAACCAATGTCTTTGCTTCTGACCTTCGGTGATGCAGTTCAACCGTACTAATAAGCACAAATTACTCTAGACGAACATTTGAGTTTCTTTTTTTATTGCTGAAGTGTGTTGATATTTCTTCTTCTGCATTCTACTGTACGGACGTAAATTTACTTTCCCTTCAGCCTGAGGCTTATTCATTTCACTTTTGGTGTGCAAAGGCTTTTATATTTGCCAAAAATATAACTTTTTTTATTTTAAAAACAAACAAGCAAGCCCTGTCCAGATTTTAAAAAGTAACGCAATATTGTAATGCATTACTTTTAAAAGTAACTTTCCCCAGCACTGTTCATTTTCATCAGGAGTTGTGATGAGGTTGTCCAGAAACGCGACAAAAGTTGAGTAAAGTTTAATTTGCGCTTCATCTTACTGTGGCATCTTGTGATACGGCTACAACACAAATAAGACACAAAAACATATTACACAGATTATTTTTTTTAAATTAGTTTGATGTTGGTGAAATTACTCATCTAGTTTACTTTGCAACTGATTGGCTGTAGAGTATCTAGTGACTAGTAGTGAGGACATTTACTGATTATATCGAGAAGACCTGTGGATCTCACACTTACTGGCAGATTCTCATAATCAGAAGATCCCGACTGGTGAACAGCAGGTGTGGGAGGGACAGTCTATATGAAAAACACACTGATTATTTGACATATCACCTAACTTTTGAATGCACATGTTTTTGGTATTTCACTTACTGTGAGCGTGTTGTACAGGTCATTAGATCTGGATTTGAGGTCTAGAGCTGCATATGAGCTTGCACTGGGATCATCGGTCTACAGGGAAACAGAGTAAAGGATATATATATATATATATATATATACATGTGTGTGTGTGAGTGTGAGTGTGTTTGATGTTTGAATTGTATTTAATGTCACTTAATTGCTGACTTGAACTATGATTTAATATGGTTTTGATGAATTTAAAGGTGATGACATGTATTTTGTTACTCTGTATAATGAGGGCAGATGTGTGAAGGTGGAGAGAGCACAGCTTTCGATCGCACATTGTTTGATTTAACAACTGTAGCCGTGTCTTGCTTAATCTGATCATCTCACCTCATACTCTTGTATAGTAGATATTCTCTTTATTCTTTTCCTGTCAGTAAAGGAAAGTCAAACAAGTAATTTCATTCTTTAATATATAATTAATAATCAAACATCCGTCTGTATTAGTTTGAAAGTAAAATGTTTATATACTCTTTATTTTATTTACATTTTAAATAGTATGATGATGATGATGATGATGATGATGATGATGAATAATCCTCCAGATGTTGCTGCGATCACAATCACGTTCCTATCAGCACCAGGATGAACTGAAAGATGAAGATCATCATAATTAACAAACAGATGAATGATGTGAAGATACAGGAGTGTGTTAATAAAAGCTTCACCTGTGACAGTAACAGCGTCTGATCTCTGAGATCCATGTTGGTTGTGAGCCTCACAGTAGAAGCGTCCACTCTGTAGTGCACTGAAACTCTGTCCAGATCCAACAGCTGAGCTTTGATTCTCCTTAAACCAGCTGAAGTTCAGAGCAGGAGGGTTTGAGTCACTGCTGCAGCTCAGAGACACTGAATCTCCCTCCACTATTTCACCAGATCCAGTTATGGACACTGAGACAGTCCTGGGAAGATCTGAAACAAAAACAGAAAAATAAAGATATCATTATCAATAATGATAAATCTGAGGTGACAGATAATTAAACTGAACCATCATTAAATGTAAAGCATTCAATTTCAGCAGATTAACTGATGATGATCACATGATTCTCTGGAGGATCTACAGGAGAAATATGTATAATATTATTTTGAATCCTCATTGTATCACTGAAGGCCCCCAAGTGCCAAGAGAAAATCTGAGCTGAAGCTTTCACATGCATGTTGAAACTGTGAGCATGGTTATGGGTCGCCTGGTCATGACTGATTCACTCACATTGACTCTGTTCAGTTAATGGTGTTCAGGTCTGGACTTCATGTGATCAAGTTCTTCCAGAGTAAATCATTTCTTTATGGACATATTCACTCTAAACCCGGATAAGTTGAGTTTACTTACACATTTTGAGGAAACTGGTTGCCCTAAAATATTTAAGTAATGTTTACTTGATAAACTTGAGTGACATTTATTTAAGCCATTTAAGTTTTGTTAACTTAATTGAATCTGTGATCTGAGGAACATTACTACTCAGAATTACTGACACCCAGAGTGCATTGCGGCATGAATAAATTATGCAGTTGCTTTGTTTTACAGTTGTTGTTTTTATTTTCCAATTTTATTTGCTGTCTTGTGTCAGTAGTAGCACAGCAAAAAGAGCAAATAAAATGTTTATTGTTACAATTAATAAAAATAAATGAAATTGAATTGTTACCATTGTTGTGGTTCGTGTGCTGAATGTTGAAGTCTGTGTGTGACTTCAGCATATTACCACAAATATAAAAGGATTATATCATTCCAATAAAAAGCTTCCCAAGGTATTTAAGAAAATCTATGAAAATGTAAACTATCGTTAATAATCACAAAACAATAACACTAATTATTTAATTTGACGGTAGATCAATTTTTAAAAACAACCTATTTATTACTTTTCTTCCCTCGAAGTCAAATAGCTCCAATTACATGATGCATTAATATGAAGAAAACTATAATAACACAAACAAAGTTTCAAGTGCCCAACCAAAGGGAACGCTAATCACTATAATGGTGCATAAAAAAAAACACACATTTTAGGAAAATCAACATCAATTTATGAAGTTGGCTTATGTGATGTTCTCTCAAATATTTCAGTTGTATTGAGAATTCAACATTCAAGATGACTTTAGGAAACGAGTGAATGCAACTAGTGACAGATAACTGCAGACGTGGAGGAAATGGGTGAAAATTCATCTATTAAAACTCTTTTTCTTTTCTTCTTCTTCTGTTGTTATGTTGCACATTAGCAACATATTAGTGCACTGCTGCCTCTCACTGCTTTATTAATGTCATCGGTTCCTTTGTGGCTACTTGAATATTTTAAGTAAGCATCACTCAAAACAGTAAGTCAATTGTTTTATTTGCATTGAAAGTAGCTGTAACTTAATAAAACCTAGTAAGTATAACAACTAAGTAAAGATAACTAAATATATCTAAGTAAGGTAAACTACTGGATTTTACAGTGTTGTCATGCAGGAGCGAAAAATAGACACTACTGTACTCAAAATATTTGTCTAAGAGATTAAATGACTGTAGATGTGACTGTGAACCTGTTACTGAAAGTCATAGCCATTAATTACAAAACTGTTAAAATTTTTGTTTGCTTAACCTAACTTTTTAACTTATCTTTTTACATGGGCTCAATTACTTAGAATATTAAGTCTTTAGTTTAATTTAGTTATTCAGTCATTTGAATACAAGTTTACTTGTAATCTTGAGAAATTTAATTAATTTGATTTGCATTTTTATTTTTGCAATAACAATTATTTTAAATGGGAATGAAAAAAGTGAAAAGCAAATGACTGAAACATTTGAAATCGAATTATTTACAACTAAAATAATTCATAAATGTATTTTCATATATTGAAATTAACTAATTATTTATTTGGTTGAACTAAGAAAATAAGTCAAATTAGGTTAAATGAACTTGAGCTGTGGTTTTGAAAACTTAACGCTCGTTCATTTTTACTTTCATTAAGTTATTCTACCTGAAGTTCAATTTGTCAAATTGAAATACTTAATATTCTAAGTAAACACAACTAAACTGAACCAGTGGAAATTGATAATTCAAAAAGTTTTTTTGGGTTTTATTATTATTATTTTTTACAGTATAGGTGGAGTCCACAGTGTTTGCCCTTGTAATCAACATGATCTGGAACCTTTAAAGAAAAAAGTACATATGCAAAATAAGGTAAATACTCACACGTGACACTGAGCTGAGCAGCAGGAGAGATGTAACTGTGTCCATGTAGAGCACAGCTGTATCTGCCTGCATCCTCTCTTCTGACTGACTGCAGCAGGAGTTGATTGTTTCCGTCTCTTCTCTCAGTTAATGGCTGTGAGTTTCTGTACCAGATGAATGTTGCTCTGTCAGTCAGAGTGCAGCTGCTTTTACACGTCAGACGGACATTATGACCCTCTGTCACTCTCTCAGGAGCCTCCACCTGAAGATCTGAACACAACACACACATTATATCTAGTGCTGCTGTCATACACTGATTATTATTCAACATAATGCACAGAAGAAGAGCTCAGCCTCTTGAAAGTCACCTGTGACAGTAAGAGTTACTCCTGGATAACCAGTCCATTTTCCATCAGGTTTATCAGTGATGAATCTGAAACAGTACATGTGTGAATCCTTATGTGTCACATGACTCAGTCTGATGCTGCAGTTCTGCTGTTTGTCTCCCAGATACTGAAGCCTCTGACTGTATTCAGGATCCTCAGACAGATCGGGATGCTCTTCACTCTTTACAGGGTTTTTGGTCCAGAACACTTTCATGATCTTATATTCAGTAGGGTATGTATAAGTGCAGTTCATTATCACTGATGAGTTCTTTAGTGCACAGATGTGTGAAGGACTGTAACTCACACCCCAATCATTTTCACTGAAAACATCTGAAATGAGTTTAGTTTTATTATTTAAACGAATACTACAATCAATATCAATATTTGCTAAGTAATACAACAAGATGATTTTGGTATTACATTAATAAGGAAATAACTGGATAGACATAGCAAAGATACACATATGTGGGACTTCATGCTGGTATTGCTCCAATAGTAGGAACATATATATATTTGGTCTTTTTAAAATATAATTAATGGAACTAAATTAACAAATACTCTTGAGCCATGAACAACATGCTGCACTATTATAGAATGACAGAAATGAAAGCACATACAAGCGTCTCAAACTCACAGTGAATCACGAGGAGAAAGATCAGAGGAAGAGGAGGAGCCATTCTGACTGACATCCCCAGAGCAACACCTACAACACAGCAATTCCTATAATCCAGTATGCTTGAGATGAAATTGTGAGACGGATATTTTACAAGAAAACATCATTCAGTCTTTCTACCTCAAATTTGCATGTTCTTTGTAATTATTTGTGAAATGTACAGCAGTTTCTCAATGAAAACTGTTTAAAATGAAACCCTTCACCATTTTTTTCAGTCTAGTAGCATTAAAAATGTATTCTTCAGACAAAAAAACAAACCTTGATAAGAAATGGTTCATACCTCAGCGCAGGACACCTCATCAGCTGAAAGCAAATGACACATGAGAAATAAGGAAGGTTTACCAGCCTCATTTATAACCAGAGCTGCATCATTTCCTCCTCATTTCCTGTGCAATGTAAAACTCTAAAAACAAACAAACAAACAAACAAACAAAAAACATCCTGTTTATTTCCAAATTTATTTAGCAGATTTTCCTATATATCATAAGTACTTTCTTGTAAATGAATGGCAGGAATAAACACATGCATATTGCATGTAAGCTGGACTTTCATGACACATACTAAACACACGAGTGAAAAAGTACCCAAAGTCTTAAAATGCAAATTATTCGAGGCTTAGTGTATCCCATCATGGATCATGTTGTGGAAATAAATCGTGAGACTTTTTGCCGAGATCTCGTGAGAGGTCACGGAAACCTTTCCAATGTATGTGAAATATTAATAATAATTACATATTACATATAAATTGGTAGTAAAACAAAGAGTTGCATGTTTCATTGGTGCAAATGAGTAGTGGTGATAATTATTTTGTACAACATTTGCAACTGCTTTTTATCACTAGAAGCACCACAAAATTAAATGGTGTCATCTGTTATAGGGACTACTGAACATACATTTAGAAGTTGATTTTAAAATGCAAAGTATTGACAATAAAAATAAAGCTTTGTAAACACTTGCATTTTTACAACACTATAAGTGTGTCCCATCAGGTAATGAAAAGTTATACACACACATATAGTCTTCATGCTCACTTGAACACTTGGACCAAATACAGGAAATACGTCATATAAGTAGTCAAGTGGTCAAGTGCAAAAACCACAAAAGTGTGGGTATTTGGACAAGGCAACTGAAATGAACTCTGCTCAGTATGCATACTACAATTAAGCAGACAGTCTACTAATACTCTAATGACTGCTAGTTGACATGTAGTTGCACAGTTACTTACTGTTAGTAGAATGTCTAAAGTGGACCATCAAAATAAAGTGTTATCTCAGAAATTCACAAAACTAAGAACAATGACTTCAAAATGACAGGTTCTCCATATGTACACAGTTGTTGATAAGTTTCTTCTTTGTGCACACAACATATACACATGTTACACATAATGAACCATACCTGACACACATGTAAAAAAAATATATTATATCTTCTAAATGGTTTAATAGATCAAAATTATTTTGATAACTTTTCACCTGTTTGATTTTTCAAATAATCTCACATATTTAATGAATTATGTGATTGACACCAGTGGTTCTTGAGGTTAAGTCTTTCAGAATGAGGAGATTTAACATATGATATCAATATTGTGTGTATGTGTGATGCATTGCGTGATATATACCCAGATAGCACAAGTACGTCTGCAAGATGTCTGTTAAAGATCGCTTCATCTGGAAAGCATCTGCTGTGCACAAACATCCGACAGATGTCTTTAAGATGTCAGTTTTACATTAATTCTAATTCATAAACATCTTAAAGACATCTTCTAAATGTATATTTGACATCTGATAGGAAACGTCCTATAGACGTACTACAGATGAGCAAACACTCATCAAATGTAAATGCAGACGTCTCCGTGATGTACGTGTGCTATCAGGGTATGGTCTAAATCTCAATCGCGTCACCTGTTGTCCATTTCTTTCACACTTTGCACAGACCTCTAGGGCCGTGAGTCAAACAGGCCCACCAAGTTTCGTTCCAATCTTATAGGTGATCAAAATTTATTGGTCGATGACAGCCATGTTTTTCGGTGATACATGAATGTCCTTGTAAATCGTCATAACAACTTGGACAAACACACAATTTTCAAGTCAATAGGACTAACAGGGCCGGCCCGTCGCATAGGCAAATGCTAGGGGCGCTGTTCATCCATAGGGGCCACAGCGCTCAGAGATGGGCAGTATTTGAAATACATGTATTTGAAAAACAAAATCCTATTTTGTTTTTAAATACCTTTTTGCATTTAAATACATTTAATCGTAATATTTTTGTATTTAGTATTTTTGTATACTTGTTGATCCAGGAAATCAGCAGTCTAATTAAGAGGTTGATTGGCAAAAAGTATTTTTGTATTTTGAAAATACAAAAATACTAAGCTTAAATGTATTTAAACACAAAATACAAAATAGTATTTTGTATTTCAAATGCATGTATTTGAAATACTGCCTATCCCTGACAGAGCTTCACTCTAAAAAATGCAGCGCATTTATTTATTTGCTGGCAAACCACCAAAATAAAATCAGCTTAATATTTGAATTTGAGCAGAGATGCACCGATCGACCATTGGCCATAAATCGGAACCAGACGGTTTTTTATTTATTTTTTATTTCAGATTCTGTAAACGCCGTTAATAGAGGCCAGAGACGCAAAGAGGAGAAAATACATTAGTAGGCAGAGCAAGAATGTATCTCTGAGGGGAACTGACTGTCTTAAGAAACAGTTTAGAAGGCATTTTCCTTTCATCTTGCCTCTGTATAAATCAAGGAAAAATGTGTCACTGTTGTTCCTTAAGCGCCACCTGCTGACAGAGAGTGAATTTGCATTTTCATTAAGCCCATCTGCTGTTTGGTATGTTTTATGTAGCCTAATTTCACAAAGCTAAAGTCAGACCATTCTGTTTTTGCTGCAGGTTTTGAAATCATACAGTCTAATTTAGATCAAAATATAGGCTAATAAAGCAACTAACCATATTCTTCATGTACTCATATTTTCATTCTTTCTTGACTTTTGCTTAAAAAATATAAAAATAAAAATCAGCATTGGATTCTGCCATGAAAAGTTAAGATCAGTCCATCCCTAAATTTATGAATGTCTGAAATGAACAAATTAAGATTTAAATGTTAGTATTGTAGCTGCCTTTGGACAATGAAGTTCTCTAATTTAAATAGCTAGTTGAGTTAATGTCAGTTTATTTATTTATTAATTTATTTATTAATGTAGTGTAGTCCTTCACCGATTCGACAACGCCATTGTTACATTAGTTTGCTTTAACACAGGTATACATTTTAACTAGAATATTTATTACATATTTGTTGGTAATTTGTAATATTGTATTTTTCCAGATTTTGAAAGCATGGAGGAAAGCAGTCATTTCACACGCTCTCAAGGAAAGCTAACTAATCTATCGCCAATGCGAGGAAAACAGAGGACGCATTGAGAGAGGCTTCGGGTGCATGTTAGTACATATACATGCATTGAATTACATAGGCCTATCTTGAGTTTTGGTATTTCTGTAGAAAAAAACAAATCAAATATTGATGTAACATTGCAACATTGTCACGTGGATGAATGATTGCAGAGTGAAATGAAAGACATTAAAACTACTTAAAAAATTAGTGTGCTGTGTTATAAGATAGCAAGTGTTCATTATGTAATTAATTTGCCTTTATTTTCATGTCAACAGGCACCTCAAATATTCCATATCTACTGTCACTCTATCATTGAGAAAAACTCAAGAAATTATTGACAGAGATAAGAACAGATGAGAATAAGAAGTTCTCTAATAAGAAGTTCTCATTAGGTTAACTTAATTATTGCATTAAATCTTTAATATTTAAATTCAAACAGACAGTATCGATAGTATTTGCATGACCTGATGTATTATTCGTATCCAAAATAAGGAGCTATGGTCATCGTGCAGCACTAAACATTCTCATGCAGTGTGTGTTTCAATCATACTG